TTCAGATGTACCCTCCCCTCCCTAATAAGCTTGCCGTTGCCCAATTCCTGCTGCTTTGAAAATTTACAACACAATTAAGGAGAAAAGTTTGTCGGGGCTCTTATTTTAAGCACTCTGGTTTTGCTTTTGCAGGAGCATTTGGGACAGAGGGACCCACAAAGGCGAGGAGAACTGTGTGTGTTTGGGGTGTTGGTTATGGGTCTGCTGCAGGCATAAGCTGTCATTACAGAGCTCCTGCCCCTACCAGAGCCTCCGTGGGCATAATTATACAGACCCTATGATCCACCCCACAAAGCAGGGGAGAAGGAATTCCCATTGCCACAGCAAACTTGGAGCACTGAAGGGTGAGCTGCAAGCGCTGTCGAGGCAGTGCAACCCTGCAGGCTTCTAGGTGAGCACAGAACAGGTAGGCACAGGGCAGGACAGCAAGGTGAAGAAGAAACTGATCCATGTTCTCCTAAAAACAAGAGGTTACAAAGAGTCTGGAAAGCACATCTTCTACTTACACAGAGATCAGGTGTGATATTGGGGCTGGGAAATGAAATCACACTGATTTTCATCAGGGGGGCATCTTCTGGTTCATCCAAGGCACTGAGATTTGAACAGGGCTGTTACATCATGCACAGCCGTGCTACAAGTTGCTGCTGGTGCTGAGCAAACAGGAGGGCACTCAGAGCTTCCAGATCTTGCAGGGATCTAAGAGAAGTTGTGATGCCACTTAAAAACAATCACCTGCTACAGATCCAAGTCTGCCCAGAGCACAGTGTCCCCCCATAGAACACAGGGAAATATCAAGCGTGCCTCCTGAGGCACCATTTTGCAACACAAGGCATTAGTTTTGCTACAAAAAAAAGAGTTGATGCAGGATTTTAAACTGTTACTACAAAGAAACAGCCTCCAAGATTTGTTTAATCAGCATTCAGTCATCTGATGTTTAAGAACTGGGTACTACAAGCATGACGAGGGCTGCTCTGCAATCCAGAGCACCAAAATCACCCCAGAAATAGTTAAAATTACCCAAAGAGATACAAAGAGGTGCAAAGAGATACAACGACTTCATGGTGCTTTCTGGTTTTAAACAGGGCTCAAAAAGCACCGATCCCCTAAAAGTTGGCATTTGGGAACAAAGATTTTCGCCTCTCCTCTTATGAATACGTCGATGTAGAGCTCCAATAATGGAAGGCACAGTGCCTGCTCTGCTAACAGCAGCATGCTTCGTTTGTAAGGCATAACCTGTACCTGCATTTCAGTGGGGTTTTGGGTTCTGAAACAGAATCACGGCATCATCTCTGATGTCCATCTGTGACTCCTGTGATCTTGGTGCATTCTGAAGCACCACCACCATTACCCCCCATCCCCAGAGATCTCATTAAAGCAAAACCCCAGAAGTAGAGCAAAAAAAGGAAAAAAAAAAAAGGAAAGCAAAGCAGCGTTGCCATTTACATTCCCGTTTGTAAAAGTTTCCAGAACTCTCCTTAAAGGGGAAGAAAAAAAAAAAAACAAAAAGGAAAAAAAAACAACAGAAAACCAAGCTCTGAACCCTACCAAAACAAGACATTCCAGTGCACATGCTCTTCCCTTGGGGACAGGCCAAGAGAACAACGACACGTGACGGCCCTATTGCTCAACACAACCTGGAAGGGGTTCAAGTCGGGCGATAAGTGCGGCGTAAGCCCATAATGAGCAGCAAAAAGAATTCAGCCCAACGTAAACTGCCTCCTACCCTTCGCCTCTGGTCGATCCCAGTGAGGGGCAAACACTGAGGTTTTGAGATTACAAAAGGCTGGGCAGGTAAATGAGGAGCTTTGTGCTTCCATTCCCCTTCGAGCAGAGTCCGTGTATCAGCCTCCCCAACAGCGTGACGGCGCTCGGCCCCACAAACAGCACAGGGATGGGGAGATCTGAGCAAAGTTGGGCACCGTTTAGAATTCCTTCCACGCACACAACGGGGCAGCAGCACCCCCCCCTTTGCTAACATCACCCCCAAACGCTTAAAAACAGAGCTCAAATCCTATTGAGCAAAGAAGGAACATAAATGGCTGCGAATAAACTCCCATCCGAGGGGAAGCTGCAGCGAGCCCACCTCAAGGAACAATAAACCACGGCTCAGAATGGGGACAGCAGCCCCCAGTTGCCCCGTGGTGGGCTCAGGGACCCCCAGCTGTGCTCCCTGCTCCAGGTAAAGCTGTAGGGTCACCGCTCCCCATCAGCTGTCGGCTCGCTCCGCCCCGGCCCTGGTTTCCGGGTAGTAACAGAGCAGCCAATGAGTGGAGTTGTGAGCTCTGCCCGAGGCCTCCTGCCCGTGAAAAGGGATCTGAACGCAACGGCTCACCCTAAAACGGGGGGCACAGCAAGGCCTCAAAATCCTAAGGGGTATCTGGAGGGATGCAGAGCTTCAAAGGGATACAGCGTGCGGGATCCCGAGGGTGACAAAGCCACAGTGCATGGGGGTGGGGGGGGGGCAAGGGGGGGAACTGTGCCCCCCGCTCTGTGTCATCCCCAAAAAGCCTGAGAGGCAACAGCGGGGTCTGCAGCCTCCCCCTCCAATGGGAGAACGCGGCACAGATGCCACATCCTCGATGTTTGCAAGACCAAGAGAGAAACAATGAGTGACTCAGAGTTTCAGCACATCAGCATCATCATCATCAGCCAGGCGGTTATTAAACACGGGCACATTAACGCACACACAGCTCTGCTCCAACCCACCTCCCCCCCACAGCCCCCCCTCCACCCCACGGAGCAACCTCTCCCCGTTCCCTGCTCACAAAGAGGCAGCCACAAAAGGACACGGACGTGTTGGGATTGAGAATGGGAGGCATAAAAGGAGCCCACTCGGCTCCTGAACCTGTCAGAGTGTGGGGGGGGGGGGGGAAAGCAGCGGGGCTGTGCTGTAACACAGCCATCCTAAAGGTAAAGGCTGAAAATCCTAAATCTATGCCATCGTTCTATTAAAAATAAGAGGTTGAGAAGGGAAGCTGTAATTAAATGATAGCAAAAAGGGAGGGGGGGGGGGATGGGAGGGGGGAACCACCATGACAACAACACCCTGGAGCCTCAGGGAGGAGTGCATTCCTTCAGAGGAGTCCTCTCTCATTTGGTCACCACCAAAACCATCCAAAGAGCTCCAGGATCCCACACGACTCTGCTTCCACTCCAGCATAAACGAAGGGAAGGGATCTGGGGCCCAGCGAGCTGATCTCACCCTGCCAGGCAGGGCGAGTCAGACAGACAAACAAAAAGGGCCATGGGGAGGGAGGGAGGAGCGGTGAGCAGTCATCTGACACATCCAACTTCCTAAGTTTGTTGTCCCTTCCAACCCCACAAGAAGAGATCTCTGCTGTTGGAAGAACCCTTTTGGCTTCTTTTGTCGAAGGGGGGGAAGAAAGAGAGCAGAAAGCAGAAAGCGTTTTGTGGGGGGTGAGGGAAGCGTGGAGATCTGGGGGCTTTCTATCTCCCCCACTGACTTTAGGAATACACAGCATAGAAAAGCACTTTGGAAGAAGCTCTTCTTTGTCTCTTAAAACGGCTACGATAGGAACAAAACAGGAATAATTAAAAGAAAGGAACAGGGGGAGCTGAAAGGAGAGCAGCATCGGGCTCAGGTTGGGCCTCGAAGGAAGACACTTCCCCCACCATCAAACAGCTGGAATCGCCCCCCAACCCCCTCCTTCCACAGCGATTAAGCACCGATGGCAATTTGCATCGGGCAGAGAATGACATGTGTGTAACTTTAAACTCCCCCCCAGCACAACCTTCCCCCCCCCGGATAAAAATAGCTGCGATTCAACCATGATCGCGAGTCATTTCCTATCTGCTTTCAAAACAAGGCGAAAACACAGCGAGAGAGGCTTTGGGGAGAGCGAAGCACGCGCGGAACGTCAACAGAAGTTTCCCTTCGATAAGCCACAAACGGGAGCAGAGCTCCTCCCATCCCCTCCCCCCCCTCCTAAAAAAACCACTAAAAATAATATAAAATCCAAGCAAGTTTGTTTATCTCGCTGGAAACTCAATCAGACCTCCGTGGTACAGAGGGAGCAGCCCCAGAGGGGCTGGAAAACAGCTGGGGCCAGTGTTGGTTTTTGTGCCCCCCACTCCCCCCCCCCCCCCCCCCCCACCCCCTACGCTTTGAGGGATGAACTATAAAGAAAGGGATCACATAGGCAAACTCCCAACGATATTTGTCAACACGGGGAGAGAGAGGAAAGGATTCACCTTCTGAATAAAGGAGGAAAATAAAAAGAAAGGGGGGGGGTGGAGGGGGGGCAATATAAACATGGAACGGTTGGAGGAGAAATATAAACAGTTCTATCACGAAAGAAGGAAGGGGGGGGGAAATAAAGCCTTAACCCAATGTGGGATGTTACATAAACAGCACCTAGAGGTGCCTCCCCCCCTACACACACCCGAATAGAGGCGTTTAAGGGGCTCCCCCAAAATATACAGAAATAAATCAAACGAAAGCCTTTCAGCTGAAGGCTCTGAGGGAGGCGTGGGGTGAATAAGGATGGGTTTGAGGGATGTTTTCTGTTGGAGGGTTTTGGGGGGGGGTGTTAAGGTGGAAATGTGTCCCTATAGAAATATGGGAGGGGTCCAGGAGTGGGGGGGGGGGAAATAATGACAGATCCTGAAGGTGGGAAAACCCCCCTGCTAAAATAATGGCAAAGCTCGAAGCAGGGGGGGTTGAGAGGGGGTGAGGCCTTCTCTCTATAGGGGGGAAGCAGGGGGGGGGGGGAGGGAGGGTGAGCTCTGGCTCTATAATAAGGGGACGGAAGAGGTGGGGAAGGGAAGCCTAACCCTGCTTTAAGGGCAGGCCTCAGCCTGAGGCCTCACAAAGGGACGCTGCCACGGCTGAGGGGGGGGACAACACAGGGGTTTCTTTCCCCTCCTCCCCCCAACCCGGTGCTAGGCCCCAAACCCGCATCACGGGAGTAAAAAAAATAATAATAATAATAATAATTAAATAAAAATAATTAAAAAAAAGAAGTTAAAGGGAAGGATACAGCTTGACCACGTCGGTGTCCATCCGCCTCTTGCCCGGGCTGGGGGAGGACATGGTGGTCTCGGCCGCCCCCGGTGCTCCGGGCTGGCTGTCAGCTCCGTTGCCTCTATACCGTCACAGCTGAGGAGTGAATGGAGCTGGTGGGGGAGCCGCTGGGACCCCCCCCTCGGTCGTCGACTGTCGTCGTTGTTGTCGCCTCCTCTTCCTCTCTGTCTCCCTCTCTTTCTTTTTCTCTCTTCCCCCCCTCCACTCCGCCCTCTCCTGTGGTGACGGCGCGGCCGCCGCGCGCTCCCCCAGCGCCGCTCCGCTCCGCTCTGCCGGAGCCTCACTCTGGCCCTCTGACGTCACTGCGAGGTGACGTCACAGCCCCCGCCGCCGCGCTGCTATTGGTTGAGAGAGGCGGCGTTCGGCAAGCTCCGCCCTGCCGCGGGGGGTGATGGGAGTTGTAGTGTGTGCGCGTATGCGCGTATGCGCCTGTGCGCGTGTAAGGCTGGGCTCGTCGTGGGGTCTCGGGTTCGAGGCCCCGGTGGGGACGTTGAAGGAGGGACCCAAAATCACAGCGAAACGCCCCAACAAAGAACCTCACGGGATTGTGAATGAGTCAAAGCGTCACCGTTGTCACGCCGGGGTTTCTGGTGTGACAGAGCTGAAGCATCACCCCGTGCCTCAGTTTGCCTCAGTTCACCTAACCGGATGGGGCAGGTGGCACGGAGGTGACAGCAGGGCATGTGACAGTGATGTTAAGGGATGTTGAATGTACCTCCACGCCCCAGGGCGGACATCCTGCATTCCTGACCCTGACATCATCCCAAATTTACCCCAACTCTACCTCCTCTTGAGTAAATGCAGATGAGGAATCTCAACACGTTGCTGCAAAGAAGGAATCTCACCCCAAAGTTTGGGGTTTGAGTCTGTTTTCCTTGATCCTTGCCCCCAAAGGGCATCTCCATCCCAGAGCCCACATCCTGAGTGAGCCACGCAGGGCAGAATTTGGGGTGGAATGGTGGGAAGGGGTTTCCATGTGAGCTGAGATGTGGGGTGACGAGATTCCCCCTTTCCCTTTAATGTTCCCTGGGCAGATGGGAGCACAGAGGAAAAAAAAAAGAGCATTTTTTCTTTATTTCTTCCAATTGATGCACGATTACGGCTGAAGGCAGCCGCTGCCTCCACAGCCAGAAAATAACCCCAAAAAACAAGCAACTCAGAGGCACCCCCTGCCCCCAAGAGGGGATAAGAGAGAGCCTTTGCTCTGCAAAACAGCAGTGACATTTCCCTATGCGTTCACCCACACTTTGACAGCAGCACACCCACAGCAACAGAGCTGCTGGGGGGGGTGGCTGTGGGGCCTGAGCCCTCCCCAAAGCCTCTTCCTTATCACCCTTAAAGGATGGAGATGACAGATTGAGGTTTCTTTCCTTGGCTTCTTCTCCCCTTTTCAGTGGGGAGATCAGCACCAAAACCCCAAGCAGGGTTTTGCAGGGTTTTTGGCTGTGTCGCAGCCTCCCTTGGCTGACTTATCAGCCCAGAGCAGAGGACCAGGGATGTTATCTGCTTTCAACAGGTTGGAAACACACCCTGATGCTTCAATAGAATCCACTTTGGGCAGCTGCCTGCCCTGCCCCAGGAGAAAGGGCTGTAACAACTGTAAGAAATAAAAGTGAAATGTTTATTCCCACCTGGCATCACTTTTTTCCTATGCTGCTGGTGGAGGGTCACAGCCAGACAGAAGTCACCCTCACCAGGTGACCACGTCTCACCCCGCGCATCCCCCAGCTCCAAACAAGGGCTGTTGAAAACAAGGTGGGAGAGAAAAGGGGGGGAGGATCCAAAACCTCCAGCAGCAATTTGTGAAAAGAAAGGGCCTCCAGGAAGGCAACTGGGGATTGGGGGGGGGTCCTAGAAGGCGCTGGGGGCTGTGTTTGGCACTGGGGTGGCCCACGGCTTTTGCAGCACACAGCTGTGAAGCAGAACCATGCTGGATCGACACGATGCCCCACTCTGCCTGCAAGGCTGCAGCTCCTGGAGGCAGCAGCCCGTTCAGGAGGGATTGACGCTCTCCCACTGGCGGAAAATGCGGAACACTTTGCAGGATTTCACCGAGAGGCTCTGCGGGAAAAGGGGAGCAAAGCGACAGAGGTCAAAGCAATGCAAAGAGACCCACAGAGAGCCAATCTAAGGACTTCCCTCCAGCTCCAGGTACCCACCACCAAAGCATGCAAGGAGAAACCGCTGCCCTCAGAAAAAGCCATCTGGAAATATTCTTTTTGGTTATCAACAAACCAGTTAGCTTCAGCTTTTCCCTGTTCTGGGTTACTCATGTGCATGAAAATGCTAAGAGATCAGCCCTTATGGGGTCACAACTCATACAAAATGCCTGAGAGAAATGATGAAGGAGGACTGCTCCAGCACTCCCTGCAGCTCAGCCCCAAGCAGAGTGGAGGGAAGAAGGCAGGAGCACTCAGAGCAGATAACAGGGCCCTAGAGAGGATGCCTGCCACCCATTCAGAGTGGGCTGTAGCTTCAGTTTTGCTCCCCTGGCTCAGGGAAGCCACCACTCCAGCAGCCCAGGGCTGTGGAGGGCAGGAGCCAGTGGTCACATCCCAGCTGGGATGCAAAATGAAACTGGATCTCGGGCAGCACTGAGCTACTCTGAAACACTATTATTTATAGCAGCCTTTGGACAGATCTGTGCTCAGATGAGACCTGGCTGAGAGGCTGTCAGCACAGCCTGAGGGGAAGCAGAGGCTCTGCAGACACACATTTCATCCTATCCACTCTCTGCTGGGTTTCATGTACCCCATAGGCATTCAGGTTTGGGAAAGGCTGGAGCAAGCAGTGATTGAATGCTTGGGTTCAGGACTGTAGGCTCACCACAGGCTCTGTCTCAGGCACTCGGTCACACTTTCTGCTGGCAAGGAGTGTGCTCAGGACCACTTGCCAGCCTGGCTCTCCCTTTGCAGGCTCCTTCTCAGGATCCTCTGGGGCTTCTCCTCCCTCCACTGCGTTGACCCAGGGACACCAGTCACGATGCTGTGAGCTGGGGTCAAAGAAACTCCTTGGAGAAGTGTCCTGAGCAGTAGGGGAAAGTGACATTAAAGAAATCATAGCATAGCTTGGGTTGGAAGGGACTTTAAAGATCATCTACTTCCAACTCCACTGCCACAGACAGGGTTGCCAACCACTAGAACACATTGCCCAGAGCCCCACCCAGGCTAGCCTCAGGCACCTCCAATGACAGCATGCTTTAAAACAGACTCCAATAACACAACAAAACCCTCTCCATGCCCAAACCCCAGCCCAGATCCATGTTATGAGGACAACACCACCCCATGGATCAGGGACCTTGCCCAGATCTGCCCCCCAACCCAGCCAGACTCTTACTGTCCATCCCCATGGCACTCACTGAGCTGCTGGAAGAGCAGAGCCGTGGTCTCTTGGTTCTACGGAGGGGACTGGATGGCACCTCCACGTTGTCCCCTTGTCCCATGCTGCGGGTAATGGGGCGGTTCCTCTGCGTGGGGCTGGCAGCCTCCAGTTCACCCCCTCGTTCCATGGGGCTGCTGGGGGGATCTGAAGCCCTTGGGCGAGAGATTGATGGGGAGGGGCTCTTCTCCTGAACAGGAACAAGTAATTAATGAAGCTCCAAACCCAAGACGTGCTGGGAAGCCTGACAAGAAAGGACCTGTGGTCCTGGTAGACACCAAGATGAACATGAGTTGGCAACGTTGCCTTTGACACAAAGTGCTATGGGCTGCACTGGCTAAAGTATTGGCCAGGTGGATGAGGGAGGGGATCCTACCCCTGTGCACTGCACTGGTGAGGTCACAGCTTAAGGATTGGGAGCAGTGCTGTGCTCCCAGTACAAGGGAGACCTGGGCATGCTGGAGAAGTGTTAAAAATGATGGAGAGGTTGGAGCATCTCTCCTACGAGGAAGGGCTGAGGGAGCTGGGAGTGTTTAGCCTCGAGAACAGGAGGCTCAGGTGTATCTCTCCATACACTCAAAGAAAAGACTCCAAGAAGATGGAGCCAGGCTTCTTCAGTTGGTGCCCAGAGCAGTTTCAGAGGCACTGGGCATAAATTGGAGCCATGTGAACACCAGGTGGGTGCCAAATCCCTGACATAGGGACTCAGAGGCTGTGGGATCTTCTTAGGAGTCTCCTAACCCATGTGGACATGGGGCTGGGCACAGCTTTGGTGGACCAGCTGAGCAGGGTGGAAACCAAATGGACCAAGGTATCTCCAGCCCCAGTCAGGGTGGGATTCTGTGATTCTTCTGGCCACCATCCTGAAGAGGACAGGGAGATGCCACCCAGCTTCAACAAGGGATCAAAGCTCTCTCGGCTTTCCTGCCAGCAACTGCACCACCACAGACATGATCCCCATGGCTGGAGACACTGAAGTGAGTCCCTTTAGACATCCCAAACTACAGCAGTCTGCATGCTCTAGTAATCACACCAGGACCATGCCATACCTGCTCAGAGCCTGGTGAGATCGTGTCTTGGCTCCGTGTGAGCATCCTGCGTGGAGATGTGGGCACAGGAGGGCCACGCTCTCCAGATGCTGTCAAAGCAGTGCTTGGGCTCCAGGAATCCAGCTCCAGCCCCGCAGATTCCAGCTGGTGGAACCCCCACAGTCCCACCTTCCTCATGCAGCGAGAGCAGGTGATGACTGAGAGCACAGAGCCGGACACAGCGCTACGGGGACAGAGCCAAAGAATGGGAAATGGTTGGGATGAGGTTGGACTCCTCCCTGGAATCACAGCTTTCAGTGCAGATGCAGGTATTTGTCGCTTCTTTTTTCTTTGTTTTCTGATGTGCTGAAGTACATTAAAACCCACCTACAGCCCTGATTTAAAAACCAGCTTCTTTTCATTTCGTGTGGTTTGCCACAGATCAGCAGCACGCTCAGCTATCAGCTGAAAGTGCCCCAAGACATCACTGTCCCATCTTCAGCCCTCCTCCTGTAAGAGCAGAACGCCTCAGGCACAAATAATGCAGCTGTTCTGCTCACATCACACACTTTGGGAAGCACAAACCTTCGGGTCATGAAACTTCCCTCTTTTCCTGCAGGCCTGACAAGCCATGAGAGCAACCCCAGGTCTGACACCTCAGGGGCTTCAACATCCAAATCACCACTGAACTGAATGGGGTGACTGACAGCTCAGAGATCTCATTTCAGATCCTGACATCTCAGGGAAAGACATCTCCTTTAGATGAGGTAGGAGCTGGGGTTTCTATAAGCCCATCCATTTTAACAGCTGAAGATAATAAAAACTGTGAAATAGGGGAC